AATCTTGATTTACGTTATCGCAAACTGTATTTCTTTATCGAGGTTCCTTACGCTTTCCCATAACTCTTTACCGTCCATTTAACCTTAATGCAGAATCACTATGCCCGCCTCTATTAGTTTAGTTATCACAGCCATGAATTTTTACTCGCTTATTTTCTATCAGATATTTTCAAAGGGAAAATGTGTTTGACGCGACGAATCTAGCGAACGCTTTCCCACCATTTAATATGAACACGTATATTTTGTTTGCATTGTGTATCTATCTTTATGAGGAAGTTATTTTTCTGAGAATTAATTTTTTCACTTACAAAAGGTGGAATTCTACAAACGTGTGTCTGCAGATATGTTGTTATTTTCTTGGTCCGACTATCAAAAAGGAAGGACTATCAAAAAGAAAGATAGTTTTGGGATATATATATATATATATATATATATATATATATATATATATATATATATATATATATATATATCATATTATATCTACATCTTTAACGTAACATTAGGCATAGGTAATATGGATATCGTTCCGATATCGCCTATATTGGTGAGATACCTATTTTCGAATATGTTAAAAGTCTGTTATCCAATATTTTTTTTTGATAACAGATTTTCATATTTTCATTATTGGACCAGTATATAGGTATTTTAACTAAAATATATAGATATTACTATATGTTGTATGTATGTATGTACCCCTGCGTAATGTATAATCTAAAAACTTGCCGGTTTCTACATGTCTATAGAAACATATTTTTACGCTTAATGACAACGTATGTATTTATATTTATAATAAGTTTACTATTGTAATCTTTTAGAGGAAACAATAAAGAGTATATATCTATGTAACTGATGCTCTTATTGTATCTGTAACACCATATATTTGCTTTTTTTTTAAATTAGCTATTATTTTTTTTGTCTCCACCAGTTCACAATTTCTATCAGACATTCAAGGGTTGACTGGAAGAAATCCCTTTTAAGGGATAAATCCGCCATTGTACTCATTCTTTTCTTAAGATTAACAAACAAAAAACGTATTTAAATTGCAAAATAACGTAAATTTAAATTCAGCAATGAATATTTTTTTCTTCTTTTTTCTATTCTTGTTTTGTAATGTTTGTGGTGGATACATCAGTATATTGTTTATTTGTGTTTATCTATAACACTGTATTTACATTTATAATACTATCAGTATAACTAACAGTATTCTCCATAACGATATTGTACTTATTGTACGTATATATATAATAGGACCAATCTGGAGTACATGAATGAATTACGCGTATACACCGACAGCTCCAAAACTGAGAACGGTTCAGGAGCCGGAGTCTTTTCCCTAGACTTTAATATAAACATATACATACTGGTTGGCGAACACAGCTTAATATTCCAATACAAATGTGTAGCAATAACCGAGGCTGCTGCAGCTGTACATAAGCTAGGAATAAATGACATTGGCATTAGATTCGTATTTGATAGCGTAGCGGTATTAAAAACATTACGAAACAACAAGACAAATAATAAATTAATAATCGAATGCCACCGAGCACTGGATAAGATATCTTCCAATAATCGAGTTATTCTCCAGTGGATAAGAGGGTACAGTGGATCTTACGGTAACGATGCCGCAGACAAGCTAGCTAGAAGGGGTTCTGGAACGAAGGTGGCAGGCCCGTACCCACTTCTTCTTCTTTCGTTTTCGCTAAAATAGGCAGCGCCAACATTGAATAAACATTTGTGTATATACACATATGTATGTATATATACATATAGTATAATGATAGTTAACTATCATAGTACATATAATCAAATGACTTCTAAAAAAAGCACGTTCTTAATTCACCCCATTTTTGTGAGTGTGTTACTCAATATCTTCGCTATTTTTGAACGGTGTTTTAGAAGCAAAACGGGAGTAATCCCGTGTAACTCCTATATTCATTTTGTCCTGACTGAAGCCGCAGAAAAATTGAGCTCGTTTCGAAAATTTACATATATGAGACATGATTTTGCGTTCTAAATTCAAACATTTAAAATATAACTTATCTTTGAAATATCATGTCATTTATTGGTGCGTTTTGTGCGTTTAAAACTTAGACTGTAAAGTATTAGTTTGTTAATGTAACAGAGAAAAATATATATGTTAAAACGAGACAGACAAGTTGATCATTCACCTACACAATATAGGCTCGAATCGGATATATGGCGGTAGATATGAACAAAATTAGTTCTAATTATTTTTACACTTGGAAATGGAACTAGTTTTAAATTAATGTATTTAGAATTAAGCGGACTGTACCTGGATAACTTAGAATAAATTAGGAAAACAGAATTGTATATTTTTATTGTGCTTTAAATATTTATCTCTTTAAATGTAATATTATAGAAGAATCAGAAATATTTTGCACAGTAATAACGAAATAATATATCTAAAGTAACACGAATAAAGTTTTCAATATCCATGTTATTGAAGTGATAATTATAATTAAAAATATTAAAAATAAAATACAATTCCATATATTTTCAAAATCGTGACTTGCACACAATTACATTACACGCACACTAATGCAACTATTGTCTGGTCTCTATCTGTCAGTACGTAATTATATCTACAGTTTAAAATAAGAATAGGGAGACTATAAATTTGTATCGATTATATTACAATCGCAGATATTGTTTTTTTTTTTTTTGCGGAGGAAAACTTCACTTGTTTATGTAATAATTCTAAGACACACAAGCACAGAGCTGCAAATAATGCGTCATAATGCTCGTCAGAATGTCAATACCATTTACTACGAAGGCGTAGGCGATGGTTTTAGACGCGTCAATGGTGGTAGGGTTAAGTTGGCTTTTAGTAGCATTCAATATTGAAATAGATGGATTATTAAAGAGGTCCTTGGTTTGTTCCAATACGTGTATTCCTGTTATTACCAAATACGAGTAAATAGAATTTATATAAAGCAAACGTGACGTTCCACTTCTATTTTTACACTGTAAGGCAGGGATTGCTTTAAACGAAAATATGAACCTACCATTACCAAGCAGGATTTTTGTTCCCATCTTATCTTATGGTATCCCGTGGTGAAAGTGGTGACAGTGCATTTTTATTCTGTTGACACTCGTAACCGAAGTCCTGCTATAATATTATCTTTCTTTATATTTATTATACAATAACTATTTTTTTTTATTACTGCTAACTGTCTACTGCTTTACACAATCTATAGAATACTCGTATAAGTGTTGCCAATATTGGCCTGTGTGAGAATATAAGTGGTTTGTATGTACGACAAGTTTTGAAAATAGATCTGAGAATGTGAAAATAATAAATTGTTATAAAAGTCACTACCTACCTTTACCCTTTGATTTGCGAAAAGTCCGTTTATAACATACTCAGATCGCTCAGTTACCTAAAGTATGCTAAAATTACCTGAGATTACCTTGTACATTTTATAAGTACTAAGGGTTTCGATCTGCAATCCTCCGATAGACGTTTCAATCTTGAAATGTCCTTTTAGCGACACAAGAAATGACCTTTTGCGTAATTTATTTGCTAATAACAATAATTTAAAATTTTAAAGATAAACTCTTACGACTGTGAAATTATTTTTTTTACTTATTAAATATTTTAAGTACGACAACGACAAAACTGTTATATTTCTGTTTTAAGAGGAGACATCAACAATCTATTTTTTTCTTTCTACCTCCAATGAAAATTATTCATTGCCACATACGAGAATAAAATGTTCTTATTAATTATCGAGTGTTGCCATGCAATTATTACATCTAAAGTGTACATTGCCACATATATTAAAGTATCTTGTGGAGTACATACCATATATATTATTTATAGTTTTTATATAATTATTTACAAAATTCTAAATCGACACGCATGTCTTCTATGTTTCTTTCACCAATATACATATATATATTTCCAATTTCTATTCCTGGTATTTTTTGTTGCCTACAGTACTGTCTTATTAGGAGCCTCGAGGAGTATCGAACTGAGAAATAAAAAAAAGGATCTGAGAAACAAGCATTTCATTGTACACAACCATACATTAGATCCGGGTCAATTTAAATAAAATCTCTTCCTAAATCGGTCCAGTCGGGAATTGAATTCGGAACATTATTTACGTAATAATCATAGAGTTATAGACATCAGAGGCTATTTTTGCAATATTATTTAAATTTAATTAAAAATACAATTTAATTAAATTTTCACTAATATTATAAATGTGAAAATGAGATTGTTTGCATGTTGAGTCTTAACAGCTAAACCTTTTACTATGAAATTTGGTATACATGTACTATGTGGGAGAGAGAAGGATATATATATATATATATATATATATATATATATAGGCTACAATTTCATATCAATCAGTGAACATATCGCAGCCGAAGTCTAGAGTAAAAGCTAGTGAAAGAATAATAATACATTAATCGTTATAATATCATTCGTTGTCTACTATTGAATATAGGTCTTCCTTTATGGTGAGGTCTGCTAGTAATTGCCACTTTTGGCAGGCGTGTTGGCAACTGTAGTTAGGCTTTGCTGATGTTTAAAAATCGATGCTGCTGCTCATCTTTCGACTATTAACTTCCTTAGTAGTCACTTACGACACCTACGAGAAAAGAAGGGGTAGCCCATTTTATGCCAGTGTTATGGTAGCGTTACTCATATTAAAAAACACATTACTCTTTTTTTATTTGGCAGTCAGTTAAATTTATATTAGCAATGGACAGGATATAGAGTGAGCGATCTACCTAGATCTGTTATACAAAGTAGTTCACGAGGTAACAAGAAGTACAACTACCTATTGTGTTTCCTTTACATACGTTTTCAAGTTTGTTTACATTGCTGAAATTCCTATATTACATCGGTTTATTCGATTTTGAGTCGTAAATCGCTAAAAATAAAGTTGAAATTCTACAGATGGGTGTTATGAAGATACCAAGCTTTTCGCAAGTCCAGAACACTTTCAGTGTATTTGCGTCACTGGCGGTGCACGCACGCCGCCCGCCCAACGGCGCGTTAGAATCGTACTGCAAAGAGTTCAACACGCCAATGCAATTTAAATTTTATTTATATAACTAAGAAGGTTGTTTATACGTCGTATTTAAATTAGTTTTGACGTTACGTCTAATGCCGTGTAAATATGTGTTATAAATGTGTAGAATAAAAAGTGAAAATTCTCCAGTAAATAAAAATTTATTATATTTATTATAATTTTAAAGATCTTTTTGCATTGGATAGTATACTAATAGTTTGTCCTTTAGTATTTCCATTAGTCCTTTTGGAAACTATGTAATACAAGATTTCATGGAGAGTGTAAGCGGCTTTAGTCGACGTACCACGGATTTAGTATTTGATTGTGGTAAGTATAGCTTTTACCAATATAAGAAGTATTGACTATAAATATATAACTTTTGCCTTAACTTTTTAATATTATGTCGACTGGCTATATGGCCCGTGGTTTTGTCCCCTTGAATTAGAATAAATTGTATCCTAATATTTATTTATTTATTTATTTATTGTTTTTCAAATATTAAAATATGTCTACAGAGCGACTTTAATGCCTATATGTTAATACGGGTGTGACCAATTTTTTGTGTTAATTTTAATTCAATGTGCATTTTACTAATTAAATCTTGGAAAGTAATGTTATATTATATAAAATTTTATTAATAAATCTTATAAGTCTTCGTAAAATTCAAACTTGTGCAAAGGTCATAATACTATGACCTATAAATATATACAAATTAATGGATCGACATAATAAGAACGATCTAAAATTAAAAAAGTTGTATTGTAAATTTTAACTTCGGAATTTAAACGGCGAAATCTAATCACGAAATGGGCATAATTAAATTTACATACTTGAAATTTGCCAGTAAAGTTACCTCTCTTGAATTATATATAAGTTAATCTGTCTTTACGTCAAGTACTTTGCGAAGTGGGCAAAGAGAAGCCATTTAATATTTTTTACGTATATTTCTTGTTTCATACATTTTTATATTACCTCATGCTTACATCCTGATTTCGGAGACACTTAATTCCTCTTTGACAGCAAAATATTTATTAAGATTATAGACTAATCTAGAAATAACCTAAAAGCGTTGTCTTTACGCAATGCTTTTTATTTATTTACTAGCTTTTAGCCCCGACTTCGTTCGCGTGACCGGGATATGTTTACTGACCGGGATAAAAAGTAGATAGATAGATAATTTATTTGCATTATTTACAGTACACAAATGATTACAGACACAGATATATATAAAAAACGTGATAAGAGAAATGATTAAAAAAAACACACACACAAAGTCAAGTACAATTTTTCCTTTTGTGCGTGTGCCTTAACAATATGGTCACAACTCAGTTTGTTGCTTCGCCCTCAGAAGAGCAAAACACTGATATTCTGTTGTAGCCAAAGGGAATAGGGTAACGATAAAATAATACTACCTATATCCTTCTTGTTACTTTTTAAACAACTTAGAATGGCAAACAAGCTGACGGCCCACCTGATGGAAAGTGGTAACCGTCGCCTATAGACATGAGCAGTACCATGGACATAACAGAGTATACTGTTTCGCCCATGATAGGGGGTATCATGGGCGAAACAGTATACTCTGCGTTGCCATTCTTGAGGACTCAGGTGTTATTCCTCTGTACCCTATTGTATTAGATTTGTACTAGTAAAAATTGTGATAAGTGTAGATATACAGCATGGGGTTCTTCAAAAGGGGGGTAAAGAGGTTTCTTCAGGGTCGGTAACGCACGCCTAATACCTCTGGTATTGCAGGTGTTCATAAGCTAGGGTAACCACTTACCATCAGGTGGGCCGTATTCTTGTTTGCCACCTCAGTGGTATAAAAAAAATATACAAAAAATAAATTATTCTTTCATTTTTCTATTTTCCAACTCGTAGATTAGGCGTTAATCAATTAGTCATTAAGAACAAATTATATGGTCTTTTTAAAATGGAGAACGTTCCAACGAAGACACACTATTCCACTATGGTTAACTGCAAGATCTCTTTTAGAGATGAGTTGCTCAACTTATTTCTAATAACCGATATGATCACTGTATTTTTGAGTGCAATAAAGAGTACAGACATGTTCTCAATACAACTGTACTTTTTCCAGTAATGTAGTCATCATATGCCTAGAACACCACCGCAATATTGCGCGACTCGCTGTTTTCTACATGATTCATTTTAGAGAGAACTCAAGAACTACTTTACCTGGTTTCTCCTTCACTTTTTCGACATAGGACAACCAGACGGGGCGAGAGCCTTCACATTTACGTCGTAGACATGGCATTTATACGCATGAAGTGATTTGCGTCGCCTCATCATTCTTACGGCCAAGGAGTGGAACTCTCTCCCTGGTTATGTTTTTCCATCCAGATATTTACTTATTTATTCATTAGTATATATATGTGTACATGGCGGACTTAAGTATTTAAAGGCAAATGTGAATAGGCTATTCTATAAAAAGATAAGATAATATAAATATAAAGATAATTTTCTTAGAATCGAAAGAGTTAAAAACTCTACTGTTAGTCCCATATCAAATTAATTAAAGTAAATGCGATCTTTTTCGTGGAAAAGAATCTTAAATTTACATGTAAATTAACAATTATTAAGGAGGAGAACAACGTAGATTGATATACTCGTATATTGTTTTTAACTTTTTCTTTGAATTATAAATAGCCCTTAATAGGAAAGAAATTCAATTCTGAGTTCGTTAGAGTGTACTGTTTTATTGTTGGTGAAATAATTCGTTTATAGTATAATTAAGATTATGTTTCATGAAAAAAACCGACTTTAATATTAATTAGTATCAATGTTATAATAAAACAAGTATAAAATGAAATTTAGAAAAGAAAAGAAAAACAAAGGGTAGGTGGGGCACTATTATATACAAATATATATATATATATATATATATATATATATATATATATATATATATATATATATATATATATATATATATATATACAGGAGAGAGTGACACTGGAAGATGAAGATAGAACATGGAAATAGCTAGCTAGGCTAGCGAGAGATTGAGCGCACCGAATAGAGTTAGGTAGTTAGTTCCACAGGCGAACTGCCTGCACAGTAAAGGAATTAGAATAAAAGGAAGTGGAGTGAATTATTTTGTTTTACAAACTTTCTAGTTTGTAAACAACACTAACAGTATGAAAATACCAACAGTGTATTTTTACTGAATTGGTTTAGTAAAAATTTCTATGGGACCAATCTGTGAGGATATCCTTTCAGATAACAATCGGTTCACAACTGTCGGAGATATGACATAACAACGCACATAAAAAAGTAACATAAACGAATTGGGAACCTTGTTCTTTATGAAGTCTCTTGAAAATGAAAGAATGGTGTCCACAATTGGACGTGTTTTACCTCCAACCACAAAGCGTTTATACCAGAGGGAGACTTTGTACAAAAGTCATTTGCTTGGGTACCTCTGTCCTATTCGTGTTTCAACGTTAAGCAGTTTTGTTTGCAAAGCTGTGTTTCGGTTTGAAGGGTGGGATATGGCGTGAATTTACAGAGGAACAGAGGAATAATGTATGACTGTAACTACTAATGAACTGTCACTTTTCTCATATTGGGTTTGCTGGAAGAAATCTCTATTGGAGATAAGCTCGCCCTTGTGCACTATTATGTTTGTTTTTACATTTCAATAACCTTTTGTGTACAATAAAGAATAAAGAAAGAAAGAAAGAATAACATCTGAGTCCTCAGGAATGGCAATGCATGGGCGGTATCATGGCGTGTAAAGACGTAAAAAATACGCGTATAAAGTATGTTGATTTAAGTATAAAATAATACTAATTAATACATGCAGGTGGCTCAGGACCGTTCCTTATGCTTATGGGAGGCCTATGTTCAGCAGTGGACAGATAATGGCTGAGACGATAAACTAACTTAAAGCAATTTCAATTAAATTTAATAAGAAGGTAACCAAGTCGAACCATTATTGCAGAAACACTCTCCAAATCAAATTAGTAATAAATAAACATAAATAAAGTCAATTGGTATTTGATTTGAACATCAGTAGATTGCTTTATTGTTGGGTCAAATCGCATGTTTACATTTTAATTAATTTCTATTGAAACAGAGTATAATATTCGACACATTCAGAAGGGATAAATAAATCATTAAGATGTTTACCTTTTTACAAAATACAGAGTTTCAAAGTCGAGACGTCTGTTTGTCAGTGACGAATTGCAGCCGGGCGGCGAAAATATTCAGAACACTCGTTCGCAATCGTCTTTCGCTAATTCCAAATAGACTATCTGTAGGTATACGTTTTGTAAATAAATATTAACCCTTAAAAGCCTGATTTTTAAATCAAATAACAAAAATATGTACCCTTTACTGTGTTTACTAATGGGGAAAAAACAGTAAAAAAAATCAAAACGATATTTTTATTTATTTTGAGAAAAACATTTGGTAAAATGTAAACAGTAAAATAAAATCGATTGTAGGCGCCCAATGCGACTTATAACCCCGGTATCAAATTTGAAACTTCAGGTATTTAAGGGTTAAAATGTAATTTTAAACCATTTTTCAAATGTGAAGATTCTCCATTCGTCTGTATTTTCAACCGAATTCGTAGGTTCTTAATCGTTCTTAATTTATTATATTTTTTTATGTTTATTACTCGTGCTTTATAACCCAGTCTGTTCGGGGGGGGGGGGGGGGGAGAAGGATTTGTTAATAATGCAGACTACAGCCCCATGCTAGCAATACACCCTATGAGGTGGACCTCCACGTGATCTTCTCTGGAACTATTATGTTCAATTCCAGGTGTATTCATCACGATGGGCTAACAGAACTGTCTTTTCATTCTCACTTATCATCTCTCACTGGTGCCCCGCCAGTTAGCGTAAGCGGGGACACAATTCCATTATCATTCAATAAAAAACCTCCGTCTGTACTAAACCGATTAGGAAAGTTCTTTTTTATTTGAAAGGATATTATTACAGATTGGTTTTATACAAAATCATCATATAGTTAACTCAATAATACCTAGTTAAAATTCTAGGTAACCCTTCTTCTCCACCATATTTTCGTAAACGATTTAATTTCCTAATTTCCCATGGCGTATCCTCTCGTTCGACAGCCTCTTATCCTCAAAATTCTTCACTCGTCTACGCGCTATAGCAGATCCTTTATCGTCCATGCTACTTGATTGTGAAAATTTAAATACGTGATAGTCAATACCTAAATATTTTTATGAGTAAACTTAGAGAGTATCTAGAAGACTCTTTAGATAGAATAGGCTACCTCTTCCCTTCTCGTGGGTGTCGTAAGAGTCGACTAAGAGAGGGCAAGGGATGGGCAGC